AGTGTATATATATACACAGCCTATACATAGGCTATCTATGATAAAGACAATTATTAGTTTCCTTCTCTCCACAACAAATCCTCTAAAGTTAAGGCTATGCATTTAGGCTATAAAAATGTCAATCCAAAAACAAATTAATTTAAGGTGAAACTGACGCCTACCTCGATTGGTACGCAACCAAATGTTTCCATATTCGCGACGTATCTGGATGCTAAAATATTATTTATTATGTAATAGGCTTTGTACTTCACTCGCATCGACATCGCTGGTTGGTTATACAGATAGAAGCTAAACATCATTCGAAACTGCCACGATTTGCTAAATAAATAAAACTGTCAAATAAATAAAACTGTAAAGCTTTTTGCAAAATAAAGAAAACTATTTTCTGCTGTCTCGTTTTCCTTTCCGTGAACCTTGAATCGCGTCACAAACCGAAACTCAGCACATTTTCTTTCTTTCGTTTTGTTAATGTGTCAATGATTTATGTGAAATATATTTAGTGTGTAGGCCAATATAAGCTATTCCTTTTTATGTAAGCCTATAGTTTTATTCTGTTTTCTCCGTTCACAAGAGCTGCAGGTGTGCGTGATCTGTTGAATCCATCTCACTCTATCCTCAGATAAACGCTAATGCATTGTGACTTATGATGAATTTATGATGGATGCGTCGGCGTCACATTTGCATATCTGCACAAAACACACAAATCACTGCAGGAACACACACTCAAACAGATTCAGATATGGTAAAGCCAAAGTGTTAGTACTGATGAGTTTGAGCGCGAGGTCTTTGTTCGGGCGAGACTCTTTTGGGTGTTTGTAGAGGTACATGACGGCTCGACCGATTCCACTGAGCTTCAGTGTCTCCTGACTCACGCTGGGCAGCTGAGAACAAACAAATTAGTTAAAAAAATTAAATAACGCTAATCATCATCATCATCATCATCATCATAGAATGTAATAGAAAAAAACACAGATTAAAAAAAAAAGATAAATAATAATAATAACAACAATAAGTACATAAAAGTATATCCCCTAACTCAGACAAACAAAGAATGTAATAAAAATATATTTAAAAAAAAACATTTAAATAAAAAAACAATATTAAACATTAAAAGTAAAATAAAATAAAAAATATATCCTCTGACTCGGACAATCACAAAAAATAATAAATATGAAAAATAAAATAAATTAACTAAGAAACTAATTAATAATAATAAAACAATATTAGTAATTATAATAATACTAATAATAAGGAAATACTAATTAGTAAAAATAAAAGTAATAATCCAAACGTAATACACAATCACGGAATGTAATAATGTAAAAAACTAATTAAAAATAAATAAATAATCTAAATAATAAACTATTTAAAATAGTAAATAAATAAATAAAACTACATTCCCTTGCTCAATAATAATAATAATAATAAAAAATATAAAAACATACATAAAAAATACAAATCTAAATAATAATAAACCATTCAAAGTCGAAAAAAATAAATAAATAAAACTACATCCCCAAGCTCAATACACAAACACAGAATGTAATAAAAATCATGTAAAAAAAAAAATGTATTAAAAATATACAATAAATAAAGTAAAATAAAAATATAGCCCCTAAAAATATATATACAACCATAGAATGTAATACAAATATAAAAAAACAAAAAACATTTAGGCCTAAATAAAAAAGTAGAATAATAATACTGGAAAAATAATAAAAGTACAAGTAAAAGTAGAAGATTACAATATATCTCTACCTCAATAGACAATCATAGAATGCAATAATAAAAATATTTTTTAAACATTCTTTAAGAAGCTGCAGACTCACTTCCTGCAGGATCTTGAGGAGCTCTTCTCGTATCTTGAGCGCTGGGAGACTCTTATCCGGGAGAGGACTGATCCATTCCTTTATAGCCATCATCACACCGCTGTCTATGAACGTGTCCTTCAGATCCTGCCTGCACGCACGCACACACACACACACACACACGCGCACACACATTTAAACCAATCGAAATTCAGCTTGCTTTTGTCCTGAAACTACAGCGAGGTGAACACACTTGTGCTGCTCCCTCCACAGGAAGAGGAAACACTCACTTCTTTAAATGCATCACCACTGTGGGCAGCAGCATGAGCTTCTTCAGAGCCGGTTTCTTCTGACTGTTCAGAGTCCGGTCCTCCTGAAACACACACACACACACAGACACACAAACACACAAACACACACAGACACACAGACACACAGACACACAGACACACAGACACACAGACACACAAACACACAAACACACAGAAACACACACGCACACATGAATACAAACACACACACACAAACACACAAACACACAGAAACACACACACACACATGAATACAAACACACACACACAAACACACAAACACACATTAAATGTTTTTGAAAGATGTGGATTCCCCCTTTTTTTTTTTAAATGATCAGGCTTTTTCTGATGGTTAAATTAAAATTGTAGTAGAAAGCATCAACTAAATTTATTAACATTTTTACAAAAATTCAACTTTTAGGGCCTGTTTTCCCCTAAATCCCATTTTCTTTTTATTTTTGCAGTGTAATATTCACCGACACTAGTCCACATTGCAATTTGATCCATTTAAATATGTCTAGGGTTAAGTTACATTTACTCCACGTTTTCCACATCACAGAAATTATACTTCTGCTCATCAAGGCTGCAATAATTTGATCAAAAATACAGTAAAAACAGTGAAATATTTTTACAACTTAAAATAACTGTTTTCTATGTGAAAATATTGTAAACTGTAATTTATTCCTGTGCTCAAAGCTGTATTTTCAGCATCATTACTCCAGTCTTCAGTGTCACATGATCTTCAGAAATCAGTATAATATGCTGATTTGCTGCTCAAGAAACATTTCTGATTATTATCAATGTTGAAAACAGTTCAATATTTTTGCAGAAACTGTGACATTTTATTTTTCAGGATTCACAGATGAATAGAAAGTTCAAAAGAACAGCATTTATTTGAAATCGAAATCTTTTGTAACATTATAAATGTCTTTACTGTCACTTCTGATCAGTTTATCGTCCTTGATGAATAAAAGCATTCATTTCTGCCCCTAAACTTTTGAACGGTAGTGTAACCAAGCTCCACATAAATCAGCAGCATGTCACAGACGCTGCAGACGTTCAGCTATATATAACCCAGACTCTCTAACACACACACACACACACCTCTGCAGCTTCTGTCATTTTGGTGATCATGGCGCTCACAACATCATCGGCGTCACTGATGAACGTCCCTCCGTCTCGATTGTGTCTGCGTTTGCCGCTCTGAGCTTTCTTACGGGCCAACATGATCTCAAAGTCTGACATGAAGGACATGCTGAAACACACACACACACACACGATTATCATGTGCATGTGAAAAAAGACACAGAGCTTTATAGCAGCAGGAGTCTCTTAAATGACTTCCTGTTTGCTGTGAGTATGGTATTACTCTTTTCCTCCTCTGTCCACATCTTCATCTGAATCCGAGTCGTTCTCCAGTCCCTTGTGTCCCGGTGCCTGCGGCCGCTCGGCCTCCAGCTCCTCTTGATTGAAGCCCTGAACACACACAGGGTCAAAGGTCAAAATAAAGAGATGTGCACTGTGGGAATTAGTGCTGTAAGTGAATCAGTTTGTTTAGGACTGTTTGATTCAATGAATCAGTTCAAGAAAACAATTCGCCCATTAATCACTCAGTACCGAAACTGTTTTGATAAAAATAATTATTAGTTATTAATAATTGGATTATAATTATGAGTTATTATTAATTATGATTAATGAATATCAAGATAATTATTCCTATGCAAACCTGACATCAATAATGGTACTCGTTTGACAATATTATCTTCTGTAGAGCTGCTTTACAGCTGACATTTAATAAAATTATTTTATTTCAGCTTGTTGCCAAAATTCCAAGTAATACTTCTCGTTTTCATTTAGTTTAATTTAAGGTATTAAAATAAACTAAAACTAAATAAAAATTAATAAAAAATATATATAGAGATAAAAAAACTAAATATAAAAATAAAAACTAATTCAAAATATTATTTAAAAAAATAGCATCTCAATATTAAAAAACACTGATGCATTTCTAAAATGACACTATTTTCTGTAAAGATACTTTACAGCTAACATTGAATTTTTCATAATTGATTAATTTAGCAACATTAACAGTTATTTCCCTGTTTTTGTTTTCTCTGTGAAGCTGCTCTGAAAATCTATAATGTATAAAGTCCTGTAAAAATAGATGTGACTTGACTAGAGATAATTATTCATATGCAGATCTGTAGTCTCACCGTAAACTCCTCCTCTTCCTCTTCGCCGGACTCTCCAAAGATGTCTGCGATCATTTTCCTGAGGGACAGAAAGAGACGGTTACACACACACACACACACACACACACACACACACACACAGGGTCAAAGGTCAAGATAAAGTGACGTGCATTGTGGGAATGATTCATTTTAGCAAATCAGTTTGTTCGGACTGTTTGTTTCAATGAATCAGTTCAACAAAAACAATTCACCCATAAATCACTAAATAATTAATAATGAATTATTAATCAAGGTAATTATTCATATGCAAGTCTGACATCAACGATGGTAATGCATTTCGAAAATGTATTTGTATAATAATTTCTGAATCTTAGAACATTAGCGCTGTCATTTTACTGTGTAAAACTGTACTGTGCAATATAATTTAAAGAAATCGCACTAAATTTGTTATATTTTAATTACAGGATTAATAAAAATTATAATAATTACTGTAATTATTACAAACAAAATCAATATTGTATAAAGGCCTTTTCACACTGAACGCGAAATTCGGCGCGATGACGCTTTTAAATCGAAACAATAGATCCCTATGGCAGGGCTGTACGTTAACTTTTTTTGCACATAGCACTGGTGCTACAGAGTCTTAGTCATTATTTTATCTTTGTTATTAGAAAATAAGAACAAAAGATATACATTACAAAAACACATAATATGCAAATAAAACAAACAGTGCTTTATTTTTCAGGTACAGTATTTAGAAGTAACATTAAATATTAAAATAAAACACTATATAAACTATATATATATCAATTATAATTTTTTTAAGCAACTGTATTAAAAAGTTCATCAGTCATGAGCAGTGAGTGATTTTTTTGTTTAATCAATCAGACGCCACAGACAACTTTAAAGTTAAGTCTTAAACTTAAGTCTAGTAATCAGGCGCTGTTTGAAAGTTGCGCGCGCTTCATGTGTACTCGCTCAGAAGCAGGTCAGAACAGCACATGAATTAAATGTTTAACCGGCAAGGCTTTAAAGCACATGCAAATAATGTATTTTTGTGATTGCGCATAAGTGCTGTGTCCCGTGAGCGTAACTCTACCTCTGAATTAACATTTGAAGTGAATGTATGTGGTGTTGTACAGTATATTGAGACCATAGACGGAGGCGGCAGAACTTCAGCTGATAGAATGTGGGCTGTAGCACGATACTACATTTCTTCAAAAGCAGATCGTGGTGACATTTTAATCATCCACCATCAAAAATATCGCACACCCCTAAACCAAGTATAATCAATCTCACACACACAAACAAGCACAACGAAATCACTTCACACTATTAAGCGGCTGTGTAATGAACATGCAAAACTGTATCGCACGTATGCTACAGTGGTAAATTTATTCATCGCACAAACTAGTTTTTTCATAGCACGTGCGACATATATGTCGCACTGTACAGCCCTGCCCTATGGGGCTATTCACATCAGGCGATCATTCGCGGCGCGAAAAAGCGAGGATTTTTTTTTTTTCTTTGTGTGTATATTTTTTCCCCGGAAACGGGCCGTCCAATCAGATTTGAGCTAAGATCACGTGCCCAGAGCAGCTGCTGTTGCACAAAAAGGCTAGAGTGGTGGCGCTGTTTCGAAAACCAGTGTAAACAAACAAACACTGAAGAAGAGTATCCTGCAAGAGAGAAGAGAGTGGATGCGAAGTTCTTGTTTGTATCTGAGGACAGATTTAATCTCACGTTCTTAATATAATTTCTATTAATTCTCCACTGAATCATGTGATCTGGAGAGCACCGTCCGTTTTCTACCACGTGAGTGAGTGTTATACGAGTCTCGGCGTGTTCACTCTCTTGATCTCCCGAATTAAAATATCCCGTAAAACAAAATCGAGTGAAACGTTTTTCTACACATGAGATATGAAAGCAAATTGACATGATTACGACGATATATTTTCTGTATGTGTTTTGTATGCAGCTCATGGTATTTTTATAGCAATAAAGGATGTTTATGACAAATATTAGCAGTGTAACGTTATTAAACATACAAAGAGTGCATGTGTCTGCTTATTATGGAATCAAAATCAACTATAGATCACAATCGAAAGTTATTACAAGCACTCGATGATGGTTTAAAGTGGGTAAGCAAATACAATAATAATTACATTTTCAAGTGTAGTTTGATGCCAGTTGTACTTCTAATTATATTTTAGGATGCATTCTTCTAAGCATTATAGATAGTTTGTGTGATTCTGGTGTAGAACCAAACTTTGTTTATCTTAATTTAATGCTGTATATTGAGCAGCGGACGATGTTAAATCCATATATGAGATACATATCTGAGGAAAAATGCATTGTTGGTCAGCGCCACCTAGCGTGCAGGTGTGAATTAGCAGAAGGCAAAAAATCGTTTCGCGCTCGGTGTGAAAGCACCGTTCGTTGTTGACAATCTATTAGTGAGAAAGTTTTGTTGTGAATTCTCAGACAGACAGACAGACAGACAGACAAGCAGACAGACAGACAGACAGATAGATAGACAGACAGATAAGCAGACAGACAGACAGACAAGCAGACAGACAGATAGATAGACAGACAGACAGACAAGCAGAAAGATAGACAGATAAGCAGACAGACAGACAGATAAGCAGGCAGACAGACAGATAAGCAGACAGACAAGCAGACAAGCAGACAGACAGACAGATACACAGACAGACAAGCAGACAAGCAGACAGACAGACATAAGCAGACAGACAGATACACAGACAGACAGACAGATAAGCAGACAGACAGATACATAGACAGACAGATACATAGACAGACAGATAAGCAGACAGACAGACAGATAAGCAGACAGACAGATGCATAGACAGACAGACAGACAGACAGATAGACAGATAAGCAACAGACAGATAAGCAGACAGACAGACAGACAGATGCATAGACAGACAGACAGACAAGCAACAGACAGATTATAATTACATATAATTACATACACATACAACATTATCATATATTACAGTAAACTTATGACAGTATATTCTAAACAATATTATAAACAATGATAATAATTATTATTAATTATTAAAATTGCTGAATATAATAAGTATAATACAGAATTTATATAATTATCATCACTATAATAGCATTAAAAATATAATAATATTAATAACAATTATACATACCTATAGATACAAAATGAATTTACTTTATAATTAAATATTATAATATA